GCCTGTGTTCCAAGCGTAGTCTGGAGGGTTCGACTCGACGCCCAGCGAGTTGAGGCTGCGCATGGAGGCGTGGTTCAGCGCCACTGCACTCCAGCCTGCGGTGACCCAAGAATGAGACTGTCTCAAAAAAAAAAAAAAAAAAAAAAAAAAGTTTGTAGTCCAAATTGGAAAGAAGACATAAACGATTATTAAAAAATGGAGATTGGTCGGCCGGCGATGGTGCGCTCACAACCTGCGTTGAATCCCAAAAGGCACTTTGGGAGGCTGAGCGGCGGCCGTGGATACCTGAGGCAGCAGCTCGAGACAGCTCGGCCAACATGTTGGACGGACCCCTAGATCCTCTCACTAAAATTTACAACAAATTAGCTGGCACCGCGGTGGGGTGTGTGCCTGTAGTACCCAGCGTACACTTGTGAAGGCTGTTGAGGCAGGGAGCATCAGACTTGGAACCTGAAAGGCACGGAGTTGCAGTGAGTCGGAGATTGCGCCACCTCGCCACCCGCAGCCTGTGGTAATGGGAGCCGAGGACTCCCATGCTCAAAAAGAAAGAAATGAAAAAAAAGCCTGGGCACGCATGGCTCACACCTGGTATCCCAGCACTTTTGGGAGCCGAGGCAGGTGGACTCACTGAGCGGTGTCGGGTATTTGAGACCAGGCTGGCCACATGGTGAAACCCCAGTTTTACCAAAAATACAGATTAGCCTGGTGTGTGGTGGGCGGCTTTAATCCCAGCATACTCTAGTTGAGGCTGAGGCGCGACCTACCATTGCTCTGAAACCCCAGGAGGGCAGAGGTTTGTAGTTGGAGCAAAGATTGCAGCCACTGCACTCCCAGGTCCTGGGTGACAGCTATAGGACCTGTCTTCCAAACACCAAAAAAAAAAAAAAAAAAAAATTGTGAACTCCGGTTACTAATCCCACTGTGATGCTGTAAAGAATATAAGACGCTCTAAGAGTTCAAACAGAGACGAGAATTCGGAAGGCTGAGAGGATATGTTCGAAGCTCTATTTAACAAAAAGTAAATCACGGCTCTCCTAATTTCTTTGCGCACGGCTAAAATACACATAAAAAATTTACCCATAAACTTGAGAGAATGATTTGAGTCTATTTTTAAAAAGTTAAATCAGCTTCTAATTTCTTTTTCAGTTGTAAAATACACATAAAATTTACCATAAACTTAATTTATTTAGAGACGGTCTCCCTCTTGAGTTATTTTGAGACTGTCTTGCTCTGTCACCTAGGCTGGAGTGCAGTACATGGACATGGCGCACTAGAGCCTTGACTTAGACTTAGATCTCCCCACTCTTAGCTTCTGCAGTAGCTGGGACTACAGGTGTGTGCCACTACATCCGGCTAATATTTTTTGTAGAGACGAGGTCACTCCATGTTGCCCAGGCTGGTCTCAAACTCCTGGGCTCAAGCAGTCCTGCTGCCTCGGCCTCCCAAAGTGGTGTGATTACAGGCATGAGCCACTGCACTTGGTCTTAACCATTTTTAAGTGTACAATTCAGCAGTGTTAAGCACATTCTCATTGTGCAGCCAGCACTGCCATCCATCTCCAGAACTCTTCACCTTGCAAAACTGAAACTCTGTACCCATGAAACAACAACTTTGATCTATTTTTAAAGGAAGCAAGATTTCGGCTGGGCACGATATCTCATGCCTGTAATCCCTGCACTTTGGGAGGCCAAGGCAGGTGGATGGCCTGAGATCGGGAGTTCAAGACCAGCCTGGCCAATGTCATGAAACCCTGTCTCTACTAAAAATACAAGAATTAGTTGGGCGTGGTGGCAGGCACCTGTAATCCCAGCTACTCAGGAGGATGAGGCAGAATTGCTTGAACCCAGGAGGCAGAGGTTGCAGTGAGCTGAGTTTGCGCCATTGAACTCCAGCCTGGGCAACAAGAGTAAAACTCTGTCTCAATCAATCATTCAATCAATCAATAAAGGAAGCAATATTTAAGGAGACAGGAGAAGTAACTGTGAACAGAGGTACACACACATGTGAAAGCCAGGCTGAAGCTGCATGTGGTGGTGCACACTTGTAGTTGCAGCTACTCAGGAAGCTGGGGACCTCATGAGCCCAGGAGTTTTGAGACTGCAGTGAGCTTGATGGTGTAATGCATTCCACCCTGGGAGACACAGCAAGACCTCATCTCAAAAAACAAACAAACAAACAAAAAAGGCTGAATTGGAGGCTTTTAATGGGAAGAAGTAATGAAGAGATCAGAAAGGTATGTTGAGGATAGACTGGACGGTCTTGGATATTAGGCTCAGGAATTTGGCCTTTATTTTGTAGGCATTGGGAAGCTGTGACCACCTCTGAACGGGATGAATAAAGCCTGGCCTGATACCGTCTTTTGATTGGTTGCCATCTCCCTCTTTTCTTAACTTCACATTGCCCCATATTACTATCATATTAACTTTCCTCAAACATTCCTGCCATTACCAAATACTGAGTACAAATAATGGCAAATGCTTAATAAATATTTGCTCTTTGCTTTAGGCAAATTAATCATGAAATGATTTGTGAGGTAGACTAGACAAGGAAAAAGAACAGGGAGAAGAAATAAAGATCTCAGAACAAAGGTCTCTGAGGAAAAAAAAAAATTAGAAAAAAAAAGCCAAGTGTGGTGGCTCACACCTGTAATCCCAGCACTCTGGGAGGCCAAGA